GGCGCAGCCAGTTGTTAAGCTGCCATATCCGCCTTCTCCTCCTTGAGTCCATTCCCCTCATTGGCAGAATAGAGGAGAACACTACCTGGGCACCTGTACCTTTGATGGCCATCCCTAGGGCTCTGAAGTCTTGCTTGACGTCCCTCATGATGCACTAGTAATAAGCTACAATAAACATCTTGATTCGATTTCCAGAATTACACCCATATTTAAAGGTCATCTAAATAATAAACTCATTAGAACAAAGTTCTCCCTTTGTTTTCAAACCCTCTCCACACCCATTCCAGATAGCTATTTATATTCTCTCTATGTATTAAAAGGGCATATTTTTTCCTATCTCTTTCCAAGTCTTTCGCTAATTGCTGACAGAGGTAACTCAACACAGGAAAGTGAAGCTGGAACACATTCAGGCTTAGTTTCATTAGCAAGAGAAGCAATAGCAGCAAAGACAAAAAAAAAGGCAGAGGCTTTATTGTCAGCTCACAGCTAAAGAAGAGATTCTCCCTGGAACCCGGGGATACTCTTACTCTACTTGCATTCACTGAAAGCCATTTAATAATCCAAGATCCCACTGATATATGATCTATCAATGACTTCGGAATTAACCAATCATTAGAAATCATAACTCACACTCCACAGTGGCCAATATGAAACTGAGGGGCTGTTTCTGGTCCTGGTCTACTTCAATAGGACTCTGGGTACTTAGAGCCACGAGTCTTTAATTCTTAGTTACACTCATGTCATCAGTGGAAAATATCAAGAACATCAAAGAGTGTTTGGTGCACAATTCATTTTTAAAAAATTCAAGTTCCTTTACAATTTATCATCTGACTGGATTGGAGCAAGAGAACATCTCCATGTAGTGTACACTTGCATCTTTATCAAAGCAGAGACTAAGAGTGTAGTATTTTGCAAAGGTGATTCTGTATGACCTTAGTAACCAACATCCAAGCTCACTAGCAGTAAAGATCACTGACAAGGCAGCTTTACTTTCTGCATTCAGGCAGTTGATAACTCTTAACTTAGCAAGCAGAAAAGCAACAAGCTACAGTCAAGATTCCTGAGAAGTACCCAAATATCCAAAACGGATACTCCTCATACAGCTTACTACTCTATTAACTCCTCAGGAGACCATATATGCCCTGCTGGCACCACTAGAAACACCTTAGATAGATAAAAGCACTAAACACCATGAGCTGGGGTTAAAAGAAAGCAAGAAATTGAAAAACTAACAGCTTCTACATCTCATCATTAACTGAATCAACTAACTGCAAATAAAGCAGAAATATGAGGTATAGAAAAAACGTTTTTTTTTTTTCAGGTTACTTCAAAATTATGAGAAGATGCAGAGCTTCCTAATAGCAAATATAAACTAAAATATACTAATAAGCAGCAGAAAGATAATGAACAATCATACAATACAAACACTATCAACCACATTACCCTGTCTGAAAAAATATATTACAAAATCATAAAAATATTAAGTGCACAATATTTCTTGCAGAATTTCAATCCAAAACAAACCAACATATTACAGGATTTATTGGAGCTGGTTGTAATTAAATACAGGAAGGATATTAAAACTTCCAAGGGAATTTTTTTTTAAAGCCACAACAGAAGAATAAGCACAATCGCATAATTGGAACCAAATCCCAAACCCACTTCCTTCTTATTTACTAGCATCATCTAAAGGACACTATTTAGATGCTGACACTGAAAGATCTGTAGCAGATGACTGTAAATAGGTTGTAAGTTAAAAAAAAAAAAAAAGAAAAGAAAAGAAAAAAAAAATCAAAGGAATTGTATGACATGGGTTAAAAGTTTATAGATGAGGGATACAGAAAGTTAGTGTTCGCTGCAAAACCACATCCTAGTGGTCAATATGTCTCTCCAATAAAACCCTAGAATTTTGTTTTGTTGTGGGGAAACGAAACCTCTTTCACAATAATAAGTTGTTATGAGGATATAGGGCAAAATTTTTGATACATAAAACTTGAAATCAATGCTTTTGAAAGATGTTCTAAAACATATGTTCTAAAAAAATAATGTTATAGAAAATTTTCGCTTAACAGATACTTGTTTTACACAAAATAACCAGCTGGCAAACAAATCTCCCAGTCAGGGTGAAATTTCTTCAAAAACTCCAGGTCTTTTCCATTGTCAGTTGAATTCAGTTCCGTGCTCTTACACCACCGTTACTAGCGCATATGTGCAGAAAATTAATGTGAAAAGCATGGTCCCTACCAAAAAACAGAGACCTGTGCATTTCTTGACAAGGAATGGGGAAAAGTAGTAGCACACATATGTACATGCTACTTTTTTTTTTCTGCCTCGAATAAAACAAAGAGAATGTTTTGAAGTGACTTCTAATCATTTAAGTACTTTCTACACCTGATTTTTTTGCTTGTTTTTCTTTATTTCTTTTTATTTTTTAAAAAAACATGGCCCAAGTCATCAATATTGCCTTATGAAATTCAACTGTAATTTTTCTAAAGTCTTTAAAACATTTTGCAACAGACACCACAGTTATAAGTCAACACACTTCATGGAAAGTTCAGTTATTACAAGCATGTCTCAGGCAAATAAAATTCTTTATTGACTGAGGCAAGCACTTCCCCCCCTCTTCGCATCTGATTTCACCTCTCCACATCTGATTTCAGCAGGCATTAAACATCAGGAACATTACATGTATCATGGATTATAATCATACAATAAAAACATACAATAATATAAGTTGGAAGGGAGCAGCCTTTGCTCTGACTGCAAGCTCATAAAATGGTCAATTTAGAGCAGGTTGCACAGTGGGAGCTATATCAGCCTCCCAGCTGCACTGACAGGCATTATGAGTTACAGAAATTAAGAGCAATAAGAACACCTATGCAACTAAACAAACAAGAAAAAAAATGGAGCATTGTATGAAATTTGATTAGTACTGCATGCAGTCTGCGTATAATTTTTTTAATGTACACAGAAATGCCTAGGCACCTGTTACATGCAGGTATCTACATCAGAGGGAATATACATAATCTGATCATGTACAGCTATTTTTTTTTTTAAAGTGAAATACGAAGCATTATATTGATGACATTTAAATATTCCAATGCAACTTCTACGCTGTGTCATAACAAGTTCACATTATTCATAATAGTAATACTTTCATGCTCAAAATACTTCACCTTTTACACTCTGCTAGAATGTCTTTTTAATATGCTTACATTGCACTTCCACATTTACTTTATTATTTAACCCTCTTAGTCAGAAACTAAACTCAAGGTTTAGATTACCTTGATACACTGGTGATTTTCCGCAAAAAAAACCTCTGGCAAAAATATTACCCACTGCCAATGTCTTGCTTCCTACACTAGCGTCAAAAATGGTATTTTTAGGTCCATACATCTATGCAGCTAAAAACTTATTTTTTTCTTTCTAATTCAGAGTGATTCAAGAAACTACAAGTAAACTGTTCTTTAAATCCTACCTGAGATGACAAGAGATTACAGTCAATGTGCAGTCCTTTCCCCGTCTTACACCTCTGAAGCAAACCAGCCATAATTGCTCCGTACGTATACAACCCAGTAGCAAGATCAGTCATGGCTACTCCAGGTCTAACTGGCTCACCAGCCTAATAAACGGAAAAGAAAAAAGGCAAAAAAATTACTTTTTGTTAAAGCATATTTCACACAAGCCTAGCCTTAAAGTGCTACTTCATTTCTGCATTGCAAATTAAAAAATATGAGCCTCTTTGAGGGAATTGAAGCAAAAAAACTTACTATTGGAAAACAGACATTTGTGCATGTGTATCTACACGGTTCTCTAACTTTATGATGCTGCCAAAGTTGCAAATTGTGAAATATCCATTATGCTACTTTTTTTCCTCCCCTAAAAAAAAGCTTTTAGGCACCAAGGCCAAAAAGAAAGAAATATTGTTTCAGTTAAAACTGAATTTCCTTATGCCAGGAAGTCAAAGGCCTAAAGGGTTCCCACTTTGTTGATCCTGGTGCATGCCTACTGCAGGGAATAATGCAGCCCCATAAACTTGAATCTATGTATTTTTTTTGTGTGGTTTTCCCTTTTGATTCAGATACTGCAAGAACGTCTGTTTCTCAATGGTAAGTTAACTTTTATTTATAAAGATTTTGTCATTATTTCCCACTACAGAACACTGCTAAATTTGAGAAATCAAACTACCAGCCATATACCGTTGCCCAACTTTTAGAATTAGTTTCTTTTAATTTCATCCTAACACTCAATAACCTATAATTTTGTAGCAGCCCAAATAATTTCCATTCTCCCTTGCCTTTTTTTTTTCTCTCCAAAAGGTGCATGAATACCTGTCATCTTTAACACATTAACTGCCTTTTAAACTCAGTCTTCTGTCTACAACAATACACATACAGCTGTAACTACTGTGGAGCAGATTCATTTAGATTTCCATCTCTATGCCCTAAAAGATGGTCTGTAAAGCTGCTTTGCATTGAGGATCAAACATCGTTTTCACAGCTGTATCATTTTCTACTAAACTTTCCTATCACCCATGGAGCTTCTGACAGCACAACAGTACTTAATAATTTTACACTAACTTCCTGAGCACAGTAAGAATATATTAAAAAACTCTTTGAGTAAAGCTATTGTTTTTAAGACAAAAAAAAAAAAAAAAAAAAGCAGCCCCCCTACAGTCTCTAAGTGACAGTAGTGCTCTGGTAAAAGGACCAAGGAGAGCCCTGGTCAAGAATGTACTTTTGGCAAATAAAGTAAGCAACTGAGCTCAAGGGCTAGGCTGAACTCTACTTACAGGTGTGGTTTTTTGCTCAGTGGAAGGTATGAGGATTCTCTCCTGTTTGTAACTGCTCAATCTTACTTTCAGTTTAAATTTTAAATCCACAGGTCTTCTTGTCTATTTAATTGCTTATTAATGGGAATGTGTTTGTCAACACATTCTGGCTCAGGGAAAGCTTCAAGGTGTTTTGGGAACTTCCGTTCCCAAGCTGAATGAAGAGGACACCTTTTTTTCCCCCTTGGGCCTACTTCCTCTTTGTGGTCAGCCCAAATTTACATCCGCAATATAAGCACAATACAGGCAAAAGTGGAAATTGCTTGGAAATCACATCCTTGAATTAGTCCAAGTCCAGTAGTCTTTACAGATAGGAAATAGCTGCTGTAGCTAATAGGAACCAACGATGGCTATATTTTTTCAGCAGGTCTAAACTATATACCATGTGGACTGTCTTGTTGCAGCGTGCTTATTTTTAAGACAAAAAAAATGCTCCCTCTGGTACTGTAGCTCCCAATCATGTCTTGCTGTCTCATGTTCAGTAAAACAAAACGTTTCTTCAGCAAGAAAGAATGCTTATCAAATAGGTTGTGCCACCATAAACATATCCCAAATATCTGAAATCATGTGTCACTTGGAGTCAGAACGGGACCTTGCGTCCAAGTTTTTTTTTCTTAATTCAATTGAAGTTATTGCTTTAATGAGTCATAGAAAGTTTCATCAAAGGGATATTCATCTGGCACTGATGTATCTGAATACATGAAGTAAAAGCTTTCTATTCATCAAATATGAAATTTGAATGTGGTAAGTGTTTAACCAGGAAACTATCTCTAAATTATGTCTCTCAGGATAATAAAAGTGTCATCAGCGTAAGTTCGGTCCTTTTAGCATACTGTAATTTATGTAAAGAAAAAACTGAATCTGACCTGAAGCATCTACTTTCATTTCCAAATGCCTTTGTGGTACAGATTGGGACAAAACAGATTCCTCTCGCTCGCTCACAAGTTTCCATAAACGCCCAAGAATTTCTATTTCCACAGTTTTCTCACATTTCCAAAACAGAGGCAATCTACTGCATATATATGAGCTTGGATGCCATGTAGCTTTTATGATGATGTATGAAAACACATTTTAAAGAACTTTACTCAGCACTGCATGTGTTTCATTTTGTACAATTGGCAAAAACAGCAGCTCAAATGTAGCTGTTTTGCCTGCAATTTTGCAGTACCTCAAAAGTTACAGTTTAATCTGAAAGTTCAAAGCTTAAATTTGGTAGAAAGCACCTCAAAATAACCACTGTTTAGTCATTTAAGAAAGAGCTAGTTCTCCAAGAAAAAAAAATCCCAGTAGCTTAAAGTTTTATGTAGAAATTTTCCCCACAGATCTTTAACTGAGATGTACAAAGCATATAGTCTTTTCTCTTTTTCCCCTGTTTTATTTCCTACTGTGCACCAAATGTGGTATTATTCTGTATCTTTGGTGTATGCTGCTTTTATACTACTTTTTTCTGCCTTCAACATCTTCACTATCTCCCTAATTTAAAGGTAACCTGGAAAAAATACATTTATGAGTCAAAAAGTTCCATCTCTGCCACTCTTTGCTATCTCAAATTTACAATGTTACATGACTAAAAGGACTGAAGGAAGACCATAAGTGACAGACTTAATGAATGTTTAAGTCTTTCCTCAAACTCTTATGCTGATAAGCTGTGAATTTCATGGCTTAATATCATGAGGTGCCTAACTGGAGGTATGTCAACTCACTATCCAATAAAGTTAAGCAATCTGCATAAGTAAAATTCTTTAAGACATTAAAACAGTAGCCAGATGGTTGGAATAAATTTAAATTCACAGTATGAAATTAATTTAATAGAATAAACATTGCTATTAGTTCCAGCCATTTAAAAGTGTCAGAACACCATGGAGCTATAAACATGTATTAACATACTTTAAAATTAAGCGCCTCAATGATGTATGTAGGTGCTTTGTTGCTGCTGCTCGAATTCATTATAAGTTGTTAACTCCATCAGCTAAGACTTCCAAGATCACCCTACAATGACGCTCAGTGATTTTTTACTGAAAAAAAGTTCTCAGAGCTCTGTTATACTGGCATGATCATCTATGACTACCACAACACAACAGGAAAACTACCTTATATCTGCTAGAGCTTTTTTCCTTCCAACTGTTCATGAGACAAGCATTTGTAATTCATGATAAGCTGATCTCTAATGTATACTTCAAATTGTCAGGTTAGTTTTAGTATGCAAATTCTCTGTTACCTGATCAAGAAATATTTCAAGGTTTAATTTAAAAGAATCTTACTTTTTTAAAAAAAAAAAAAAATTGACACTTCTCTACATGAAGACTGAAACAAAATTTTCCTTTTTTTTTTTTCTCTCCTCCAGAGCTAGATCTGTTTAAAGTTCCACAAAACTCAGTCACATGTAAATAAATACAGATTTACTTTAAAATAACAATGTATTATTGATGGTAAACTTTCAAGCAAAAATACAACATTATTTTAAAACCACTTGAGTTAATCCTCTCTACAACAGCAAACCACACATTTACATCTACAATACTATTGACCATTAAAGCCTTCAAAACAAAATTGTCCTTCTATAAATCAGAAGAAAATGGTTATGAGAAAATGATGAAATAAAACATAAGAAACTTCAAATTGCAGCAAAATATAGTCAGTTTGGGCATGTTTACTTTAATCAGGCAAGAGAATGACTAAGTTGGAATTGTTAAAAGCCCTTGGTGAATAGACAGAACTGTTACTAACAATAACTAAACTGCTCTTATGATTACATTGCCTTAAGTCCTGGTGAGGTGATGTGAACATCTGGATCTCCAGTGTAGATCTTAACATAACCTTTTAATAAAATCTATCTTCATAACAGCGATGTAGGAATATTGCTTTTATGACTTACATTCTTTGTCATCCACATAATCCTTGAGAAGTTTTATAAGGATTTTTTTCCCAAACTTTTGAATCTATTTTCCTTTACTGAATTCATACTAGCAAGACTTGCCTTTTTGTAAAATTTATAGTTCCATCTAACTTTTTTTGGTACATTTTCAAATGTGTGTGAAGTTTCAGGCATTGCATTGCAAGCACTGAACTTCATTCTGCAGACACCAGGGTCAAAATATAAAAGAAGTTAATCACATTAGTGTGATTTTTCCAATGTTAAAATCTGACCATTAAGGTCAGTCCATGTGTGCTTCCTGCATGTGCCTAGGGTATTTGAACAGAAACGAGCACAACAACCACATTCACCTTCCCATCTCCTTTTGTTCTGGCATGACACGTGACGGTTAAATTAAGTGGGAACAAGCTGCTCCATCCCCACTGCAATCTCCCCTTTCTGAAGTGCAGTTTTGGAGATTAACACTTGCTACAACCAGCTGTAGTATTGCAGATCCGCCTCCTGTGGCTATGCAACAAGAACAGGGCAGCAATGGGTAGGTAATACTCCTAGGACACTAGGCATGAGATGTTACAGCTGCCTCAGTCAAACAATGCCTAACTTTTTTTCAATTTTTTATAGAAAGGAGGGCTCTGGTAACCATATTTGCCTGAGGCATAGGAGTTCTGATGTTTTCCATTGTTCTCAGTAAAAAAAAAAAAAAAAAAAAAAAAAAAATCTATGGGCAGGGATTCCCAAGGTAGGATATCAATCCTATAGCAGAGTTATGCTCAGGTTACCCATGCGGAGTTTGCTACAACCATCTTAAGAAAAAGAAAGAGCTGACACTGAGTAAGAAAACTTGACGAGCAGCTTGTTTATTTAGAGCATGCAAGTGTCATACAAATCAGTAAAAATCTGCAGGAGTGACTCCAGAGCATCAGAAGCAGCACTGCAGAGGGCTAGCTAACATTTGTGACACATGAAAAGCATCTACACCACTATGCCACTCAGGAAATGATCTTCAGGGACCACAGTCCCTGATCTGCAGGTGCTTCAATCTGTCTCAAGCAGCTGTTTCACCAGCATTCTACATATGCATGAAATCCAGATCCTAAGCTATCTCCAAAGTGCTTCAGTTATCAAAGATCTTGTCTATCAATGGGAAGAGCAACATGCAGCTTTCCCAGAGACACTAAAAAAAGCATTTCTCTTTTTCAAAGAAGTTGAATGACAGCTTGACAGTGTCATCTGTATGTATATATTTTGACTTTCCACAATTCCCTCTCTTGAAAAGCCAATGTTCTTCTCACTGTATCAAAGCGAGGCTTCTCACTACAGCAACTATGGTTCCCATATCCAGCTGTCTACATTGCACCTAATAGTATCCTGAATTTAAGTGGCCATAAACAAACGAGCAATAAGTTGCCAACAATTTATTCAGTGGAAGTTCAGGGTATAATTTGCTCAGGTTTTTCAACTGTTTTGAAGGCATAGAGAGAGATAACCATTATCCTCTTAGAATCACAGAGAGACTTCATCCTGCTGGAGTCAGGGGGCACATAACATGGTTGCATTAGCACAGCCTTAGTCGTGTGCATCACCAAGACTTCATAAGTTAAATAGAAATTTTTTTGCTATGTACAAGTTAAGCACAGTACCTCATGCCCTGTGATATGCATGAGACCAGAAACAGCAGCTGCAATAGAGTCATATCCTCCTCTCTTAACCTTTGGACCCGTCTGACCATAACCTAGAACAGAGAAAGAACAGTTAATTCTGTTGAGGATGAGTACTGAAACACATATAGATTGTTGTATTGTATACAATTCCACAGTGTATTGGAATGAAAAGGAAACCAGCCTTTCTCATCACCAATTGTTCACAATTTCTCAAGGTTGTACAAATCAAAGAAAGCTACAGTCTATTTACTCATGCACGCTTTAAGAGTAAACCTGTTGTTTCTGTCCCATGCTGCTGATGTGTTGGATCTTAATTCTGCATAGATTTCTGGCCCTGCTAAGTTCTATTTACCCACTATGAATAGATTCTTATTCACTGTGAATAGACCTTTTAAATTTACTGAGGTTAGGACACATATGTCAATCCAAAGGCTCTACCATAACCTTTCAGACCACCAAATGCCATTCAGAAACCTTTCTCCAACAGAGAAAGATTTCCCATGTGGCCCATGTTATATTTCCATTAACATAAAGATACCTTGCATGGCATATGGCATCTAAAATCATGATATTATAATTTAAACATGAATTACTCTTACTTCTCTCACTTCATTCTACATTATTTAAACAATTACCATCCAAAAAAACATCTACTTAGAGCAGATGTGGGTGCATGCACATATTGTTTCCCAAAAGAGTCCAAATGGTATCACTTTTGAAATGACAAAAATACAAAGGATTTTTATAGAAAAGTTTAAATACAATTCTGTTCAGCTGTAGAATTAACAGAAGATGCTCTTGCTCTGTTTTACTCTATCATGTCCTGTGCCACGTGCTGTAGGTGACCCTGCGTGTGCAGGGGGGCTGGACTAGACGATCTCTAGAGGTCCCTTCCAACCTTAAGCATTCTATGATTCTATGATTCTATGTTCCTTCAGCAACAACCATGCAGTTTTCTGTCTGAGGAGCTCTTCCTGGAACAATTGAAGAGATTTAAAAAATTATCTAGATTATCAATCCTATCGCTCTGCCAGAGATTCCTGTGCAACAATAAAAATACAGCCTAACAGTTTAAGGTTGAAAGCTACTGGGCCTGCACAATGTACTGACAGTAAGTGATCAAAAAAAAGTAGCTACTGACTAACTTAGACTTCTACGGAACCAATGACACCAGGGGTAGAAGACAGTGGGAAAGTAGTAACATGTTTTATTCTCATCATTGCGTCTAATAGAAATTGCAACAGCCCTTAAGAGCACGACATCTAAAAGTTTCTCCTAAAAGTGGTAGCAAATTCAATCACTCTTGTCATGCCTTCTAGGCTCCACCTTAATTTACCTAGCTCCAGTCAAGATAAAATTGTTGCCACCTCAGACAACAAGTGACCCTAAAAGGTAAAATGGGATCTTTCCTTTCATTTACACATTTACATTTACCAAAAAGTAAATGTTGATATAACAGCAAGTATGGTGCACCTGCCCAAAAATACTCTGACTAGCTCTAAATATGCACACACCATTATCTCGTAGGGATGAATTGCAGTATTAAAATACATTTAAATGTGCATTGGCACACTTCAAAAAGACTATCTTGCTCAACTAAAAAAAATACTCAAAACAGCATTATTTGAATAGTGAAAAGCATACTGAAATAATTGAGAAATTATGCACTGGCCTCAAATATTGGCAAAGTAAAGACATCCCAACACATCTGCTTACACGAGTGTTTTTAAAAAACAGAAGACATCTGAAAATTAAGCATTTAGTATGTAGAAAGATGAACTGAAAAATTCCTTGCAGTGCTCCTCTAATAAAGACATACACCTATCCCTCAAACACAGAATTCAGGAAGAGCAACAGTGATTAGTTTCCACATTTTTCTGGTGGTATTACCGAAATACATACTGTAGGTCCTTTTCCATACAGGAAAACTTCTGCATTGAAATCAGCTTGTTATTTGATGGCTTTCTGGATAAAATTAAAGGTCCTAAGGAATGTCTACCTAGTTTCCAAAGATCACAACCAAAGAGAAACACAAGGCTATCTTTGGTTTCAAGTCTGAATTGACAGCCTGAGGACAAAAACTACAGTCAGTGAAGGTGGCTTACTGCCAGGAAATATGGATAGAGGAAATGCCTGGGAAAGACTTAGGCATCTATCTAACTTGGGGCTAAAGGCACAATTATTCAGATTCCTTCCCAACTTCACCACCCTAAAACTCCCCAAACTGTCACACTATGAGCTATTTTGCTTTACTGCAGGTTTCACATTAGTCGAGCAATCCAAACTGGTTATAATGGACTAGATCTCCAGCCAGATATCCAGGTGTCTTTGAAAAAATTTTCACTGTCAGAGTGTTCTTTAATCTATCCATCAAGTATCTGAAACAGCCAGGAATTCAAATGCTAAGTGTCCACCAAAAAACTACCTCTCACACAGCCTAGGCACTCACACCCACCTGTCCTGATCATTCAGTTCATTCTATTCTATACATAATTGTCTTTCCTTTCTTGTGAGGAAGACAAATGAAATGTTCGAGAGAAATACGAAAGCAACTTTCTAGGTAAGAAGAGACAAAATAAAACACATCCCTGTCTTTTCAGTTGGGGAAATAGAGGGAGAAGGTTCCCTAAGATCTCCATCACTTCTTTTGCTAATATGCAGCATAAGCATAATTGTGTGAATACTAAGTGAGGCTTAATGTGACAAAAACAGATACTTCTCCGCTCCTGAAACTTTCTCTTCCTTCATATTTAGGGTAAAGTGACACTTAGTTTCATAAATTAAGGAATGAGATGAAAAAGCAGCTAAAAGGGAATAGTAAAGCAGCTCACAGTAACAGCTAAGGGAACTGTAAGAACAACCAACATCAAAAGTGTAAAGTTACTTGAGGGCTAAGTTTTCAAACACAGAGCAACAAGAGGCTAGTCAGATGCTTAAAAAGTATATTTCTCTATCTAAACAGAAGGATAATATATCAAGCTAAACACTAAATTGTAATACCACAAAGATTCTCATCACTAGAGACATTACAGAAGCAGCGACCTTTTCTAAGACTTTTAGCCAAGGAAAGCTTCAGCTATTTGCTGAAGGGAATTCTTAACAAATTTCCTCGAAATACTGGCAATTTCGGTTAAAACTACAAGTGAGTCAAGCTGCTATTACCTGCTTACATTGCTTACTGCATCACAGCAATTCTTGACAAGTGGAAGAACTGAAAGTATTTCTTTTTCCCAGATTTTTTCAGTTGCAGACACACCTAGATAACAAAGATGCTCTTTACTTGGAAAGAAATGCTAGTGCCTTCTCTTGGGCTGGTGTGACACTCCTGCTCTGCCAAAATGGGACCGATTGGTCTGAAAGACAGGAGAAACCCCCGGCACAACAAAGTCCGGCATCTCTGTGCTTAGCATTCAAGGGTCACGTGATGGCACTCAACTTTAAAACACACTGCTGGAAAAATTACAGTGTTTACAGACAACATATGGGACAAACGTTTGGGAAATAACAACATGTCATAACAAACTACTGTTAGTTTATCCACTTAAATACACCCGAACAATTTTGATTGTACTTACCACATACAAGAGACATACTTTACTCAGGAATCCACTCTAAATGATTCTATCCCGAGAAACCAAAATAAATATTATGAAGTGAGAAAGGTCAGGCTGAGATTAGGAAAAATGTAATAATGGTAAAAGCTACTAGGCTGTAGAAACATGTTACTAGTGAAGTTGCCAAATGTCACACGCTCAAAATGTTGCATTTAATTTTAAAAAATGCTAGCAAATACTATTTCCAAAAAGAACTGTTAGATCAGACTAATATGCTTTTCCAAATTTAGCTTAGACAATGCTAACTAAATGTTAATGCTAATGTCACTAACAACATGGCTTTATTTTATTTTTGCCAGATGACAGTGCGCTTTTTGCTACATTTATGACAGGCATTCTTCCTAAATTTTGAGCAAGTAGGCAAACCAAATAAACAACTCCGGCCCAGACAGAGTTCCATGTGTCTGCAGATCCAAGATGTGCTATTCCAAGATGTGCTGAATACACATTTGGACACTCCATTTGCTTACTTAGGAGTTACTGATGATATGATGACAGAACTCCTAACAGACCATTTTGCCTGGGAGCTGCCAGAAAGCGTCTGGGATAAACAGACAACAAAGTTTTGCAAGATCATCACTTAGAGGACAACCAGCTAAAAAAAGATTTCTTTTTAATGTTATATTACCTTTATTGCATTTGGGAATTTGCCTTCAAGCTAATGACGACCTTAATTGCTCTAGGAAAAATTCAACATGACACTTCATGCTATAAAAAGGGAGGTCTGCATTTCTCGTGATGACCTTTGTCCAAAATACTAGTATCATATGCTAAGGAACACCAAATCCCATCATTTCTGCACCTCTTCATGATTTGATAGCATGATAAAACTTTGAATCAAAATATAAAACACATTGTACTAAAAGAGAGGAAAAAACAACATGGAGACATGCTGTCAACACAGACCAATTCCCTGTAGTTTGATTCCCACATGTCAAATGACATTATAAAGTCAAGCTGCATAGAATATTCTGAGCAAAACACAGAAAATATGTTCAACATAGGCATTTCTACAAATAGGAACTAAATATTGTCACAAATTCAAACCAGAAAGATGATTATCCCCACTGAATAACAAATTAATGAGAAACACCTTTTGATTCATTCTATTGCCAAAAGAAAATACTCATTTAAAGACAGCTTCCATCTTTACTTAATAAAGATTAATGGAACAGGCAGAACTGAAGCCATTCTCTTTGATGAGAAAAGAAAAAAAAAAAAAAGAAGAAAGAAAAGAAAAATCTAACAGACACCCTCTATGAAACTTGGCAAAGACCGAGCCGCTAAATACATTAGGAAAACAAGCAAGGGCCACGTGCTGGTCGGCAGGTAAGGAAGTGCAACATCCTGGGCAGGCAAATTCACCTCAGAACAGAGCCAACACAACAAAGGGGAATTCAGAGGCAACAGTTGAGAGAGATAAAAACAAGCAATAATAAAAATAAAACACCTTAAAT